CGCAGTCGTTCAAAAGTAGTGGGGGGCAATAAACTGGCAATGAACCAATCAGCTGTTCCCCAAGATACAATGGGGAACAACTGATTGACCGAAATTTTAAGCCATGCCACCTCCATGCCGCCTTTATGCGCAATGTTTCACCTTATTTTTTTTCCATCATGGTCCGCTCTGCGATGTCATTCAATGTCATTCGACTATTCTGGTATTAGCTTCAGTGTGATTTATTCAAAGCATTTGACATTGACAATTTATAGCAATTGGCGAGTATTAATACAAATATTACTAGTCAAAGCGAAAGATGGTCCTAGAAGATTATAAAGAAATTGTGGGAACTTGTGCCATGTATACTACAATGGCACAAATGTTATCAGGAACGTAAGTATATTACGTAATAATATATTTTTTTAATTTTTTATTATATTTTTTCACTTACAATAGTAAATATAGCTTATATGTGTTCAGTATTACATGTGAATTATATTTACTAACAACAAGGGAACCTCACGAAATGTTAAATTCTGATCTTAACGAAACTTTTTACGTAATTATGTAATTTATGTAATTTATGTAATATGTAATCAACATATAATATGGCTATATCGTGATTGATATGATGGAAATATAAATAATGAAATAATATAATAAATATTTTACTCCGAAATACTAAAGAAACTTAATAGCATTTTTTTTTCTCTTGCAAATAAAATATAAAATGTTCTTTAATTTTTATAAATATAGATTTGTATAAATATTTAAAAATCTAAAGTATTAAAGTATTAAAAGAGGGTTATTTATTACTTAGTATTACTTTGAATAATATCTATAATAATTGATTAATGTAACGTTATACTGTATCATATTATGCTGTGATAACAGTTTCATCATCTTTTATGATTTCATCAATTTAATATCTTCTTACTTTTAAAGTATAATCTAATGTAGTATAAACCATTGTTGAATGTATTATAATCAAAAATTTATATTAATTTTTAAAAAGCTATTTATTTATGCTTAATTTATATATTATTTATAATTTATAGAAGGTATTATAAATATATTTTTTCTGGAAGATACCTATCATTCTTTTCTGACCATTTCATGTGCCACAAAATTGAAGCTATTTTTAATCTTGTTGATGGGACAATCTTACATTTCAACAAAAAAAATTACAATTGTAATATAAATGTTAATCACTAATAAATATCAACTAAATTTAATTTTTAAAAAGTTAAATGATAGATTGAAAACACTATTTGCTTCCAAAATTAATAAGGTTGACTCGAAAGATGGCGCGGATTGTAATAAGAAAATTATTGCTTCTCTTACATGAAGAACATCAGAAATAGTTGACTCAGCCATTTGATAAGTCTGAATTCTTGATTAAATATAGATGTTTATAGATTAAATAGTTTCATAGAAAGACGTCAAGATAAAAATGAGCATGAATTTAATAGTACTTAATGTAGTGTATAAAATCTTTTGTAAAAATTGTGATGCTTTATATTAAGTTAAACAAAAAGACAATTAAGAACAGGGGTTTCTGAACACAGAAAAAACATAAACTAATATTTTAAAGTAAAATAACTCCTTGAGGAATTACTAATCATATGTTGATTATTCAACTACAAGTTTGATTGGGATAATGTAAAAATTTTTGATTTTGAACAAAATTATTATAAAAAATTGATGTTAGAAATGATTCACATTAAGGTCTCAAAAAATGGAATTAATTTGAATAAGGACAGTACTTATAAGGGCACAATACTTTTAGATAACTCATTTTAATTTATTACAAAAAATGTCAAACTGTGATTTTAAGTGAAGCTGATTGAAAGTGTTTATAATAAACAATATTATCATTGCTCGTACTTGACAGCATTACAGTTTATTTCATTTGTTCGTTTTGTTATAAAATATCGATGATTGAACATTAAAGTTTATTTATTTTATATCTGCATCTAAATTCTTTATTCCAAACATGTTAAGACTGTTTGAGAAATTTTAATTGATAGACAACACTACATTGGTCAATTAAATCAAACGACATTGGATTATCATACTGTGTTGAAGAGCCGTAGCGTTATGTTTTAACTTGTGACTATTTATTAATTTATGATTCCGTGACGACATAGTTTTAAGGCAATTCTGGAAAGTCGCACCGATACATTGCAGTTTAATGAATATCTGTGAATTGACTGAATTGAATTGAAAATCTTTTCACAGGGCTAAAATAGCCATAAAATTGTGGTGTGAGACGGACGAATTTGTAGTAAAATCGAAAAAAATTAAAAAATTACATTTTTCAGGTCTTATTTCAGGTTTATAGCTTATATTTTACAACTGTCACCTGACATAAACATTTCATTAGTGTAAAAGTTCTGTAACTCATATGTACAAAATACTTAAGTCTCACACCACAAATTAAATGAACGAATAATACAAAGCCTTTTAAGCTAAGATTAAAAGATTAAGTAGAAAAAAAAGATATCCATTCAATTTATGGTAATTTATATGATTAGGATTAGCTAAAATTATGTAGAATAGTAAACAGAACAAAAATTGCGTCTAGCAGTAAATGCCGGATTTTGCAAAAGATGGCACTTCAATATGTTAAGATAAAAACCATGTACGTATTTGAGTGAGACAAAACGATATTGTAAGAAGTTTATTTATAAAGATACCACTGAAATTGAAAAGTTGTTTTATCAACCTTGTGCAAGTTCGGCCAACCTTCCAGCATTACCTTAATGATTTTAATGTATGATTCTATTTTTGGTTTTTCTTTCTTTCTGTGTGTTATTTAATTCATTGTCTGTTAACAGAATTTTATTGTAAATGACTATTATTATTATTTATATTTTTTATTTACATTTTACCGACTTTACAGATTAATTTTAATTATTAAGTTGTGATTGAAAAACCCTGGTAAAGTCGAAGCTAGTTTCATTATATTGTTAATATTGAAGAAATAATGTTAATGTTTTATACATATTATCTTTGACTTGTTGATCCATTATTATATTGTTTTACAATAACGAGCGAATGACTGAAATTAATTTTATAATTTATAATTTACAGATTAATATGTCGCAATATATATAAGAAAGGTTCATCCAAAGGAGTTGATCCAATGCCCTTTCTTGGTTGCGTAGGATTGTAAGTGTATATATAAATTATATATAAAAGTTATTTAATAAAATATTTAAAGTATTAAATTTTACGCATTTAACAAATAACAGTATATTTTAATAGTTTTTAAAACTCAGTAATTATGAGAATTAAATATTTATATATTTAAATATTTATAATGAAATAATAATGATAAGAAAATTAAATTATGTAACTAAATAAATAATTTTTTAGATGTATATTGATGCTTCGATACGCTTGGATGTTAAATGATTCTACTATGATAAACGTTAATATATTTGGTTTATTGACAAACATGATTTATATGATAATCTATTATCATTATGCGCCAAATACGGTAGTTCCTCTGACATTATTAAAATCTGTTTGATTTGCAATTGATCAAAACTTTCTATTTATTATGTAATACTTTTTTCTTTTTAGAAAGAGGTTCTTAAATTAACATATAAAGTAACGATCTTTGTTGTAATTTTTCTTATCTATGCACAAATGGAACATCCAACAAAAGTTGAATTCAGATTTGGCATTGTGGTTACAGTACTTCTCTTTCTTTTAATTGCAGCTCCTCTTGTACATCTTGTGAGCAGATCTTTTTTTTCTATATATATTCTAAATATATTTTAATTCTAGTTCTAATAATCATAATTAAAATATTGGTTTTTTTTTTTAGAAAATGGTTATTAAAACGAAAAACACAGAAATTCTTCCATTTCCACTTATTTTTATGGGTACACTAGTTTCATTTCAGTGGTTATTATATGGTTTTATCATTGATAATATTTTTGTGATTGTAAGTATTCTTCGCAATATTATAGTTATTTAAATATTTGAAAGTATAACAAATCATTTTTTAACCTCTTCGGTACGATCGTCGACTAAAATCGATAGTCACGAAAGACATACGTATGGCCACAAAAGGCTATTTATCTCGATCATCGAGTAATACTACGCGATAGACGTGCATCATATCGAAGAAGTTAATAGATATTAGATATAATAATGTGTAATACACACGCACACGTGCACGCGCACACACACACACACACACACACACACATATATATATATATATATAGAGTATATATATTAATAGTTTCAGAATGCAGTTGGTTTCATGCTCAATATAGCTCAACTATCTCTGTTTATGATATTTCCATCTAAAAAGTCAGAATTGAGTGATCAGAGAAAGGAATATTAATCTTCGAAATTAAAAAAAATATATATTTTTATATTTGGAATTATTTTTTATATTTGACGTGCAAATTAAGTCGATAATTTTACATTCGATGCCTTACTACTCCATAAAAATTAAATATTTTTTCGTCCTTTTGCAGTTTGCAAGTATAGATCTAAGTTTTCAAAATACCATACGCTTTGAATCAGAAAACATAATCGTAAGAAATAGCACAATTTCGATGACGTCTAAAAAGCAACATTTGAAGCACTGCATTCTTTCCGTATTTCAATTTAAAAAAATGCCACGAAAATTATTTGTCCCGCTTTGGGTAACAAAGACGCTGTGATCCATAAAACGAGTAAAAAATAACATTAATTAATTTACAAAAAAATGTTTTTTTTTATTACTTTTGAATCGGACTATGTGTTTCTTACAGATTTTTTAATGCTAAAAACGATGCCACAAGTCAAATTTTTTTAGCACATCAGGTTTCCAAGATAATTAAGGTTTAATGTACCAAAAATGGCTTTTTTTGCGATATTTGACATTTTCTTATAAAGAAAATTAACGGTACCTTGAAATTTCGATCAGAAGTTAATATATTGATCATCCCACATAAAATACATTTTTTTATTTCAATATCTTATTTTTTATTCATGTTATAAAAGATTTAGCTAACAATAAAAGCTATTTCTAATATGGGGACACTGAGGCAGCGCCACATGTGCATGCGCGATCGGCAGCTCTTTTGCATTATTTGTTTCTCTTTAGACCATTTTTCTTTCAGACAACAACTTAAACATTTTTTTTTATTAAATTTTTTTTAAGATATTCGAAATGGATTAAAATAAGACAAATATATAAGCTCACGACAATCAAACATATCAACAGTAAAGGCCTATGGGAGCTAACACAGAGCTAACACGCGTGTGGATATTGTAAAAATTAATACACAACAATTTATGTTAGCTCCCATAAGCCTTTACTGCTCTATATTAATGTAAAATATGATCATGATGACGTTATTATAGAACGGGCCTAGTATGACAAACAAGCTCCTAACTTTTACCGCGATATAGCGGCACCATCGTCAACGCGGATTTCTTGGCTGATTGTGAGTAATCAGCTAGGAGCTTTAAATCTCAATTATTTTAAAAATCTGATGTGCTGAAATTTTTTGACTTGCAGCATCGTTTTCAGCATTCAGAAATCTACGAGAAACACTTAGACCGGCTCAAAATAATTTTTTTGCTATAAATTAGTAAAATAAAGATTTTGAAGTGGAGATTTTAATTTGTCCGATTAAATCAGTCGCAAAGTTTTTTTCTGTAAGAGTATTCAGTTGCTTGACACATCAAATAAAGTCATAAAAAGTAATGGAAATTATTTTGAATATTAAACTTTTATTTTTTTATGAATAAACTTTGAATTTCATGAAAAAGCATCGAATTAATTTGCATATCTAATATTAATAAATATACAATATTTTACTATAAATATTTAAAGTTTATAAAGACATTCCAATATAAAAGACTATAAAAGACACTGTTAAGTATTTTATATTTTATCATATATATATAGCATATAGTATATATTATTTACTTTGCTGTTTAATACATATTATATAGTATTCAATACAGTACAACTATGTATGTATATTAATATACATATAGACTGTATGAAATATTTACATCTATTATTTATTATATTAATATAAAAAAAATATTTTTCGCAATAAGTTCTTCACAGCATTTTGCTTATTAGCATCGACCATTATTATTATTATTTGAAATTATTAAATTGAAGATCAATTTAACTGTGCTCTTACTATTACAGTTTCAGTTTATGACCTAGGTTACACCGAGCACTTGATACTGACTATTTCTATTCTACTAGTTCTATTAAATTATCTTAATTTCGGCAATGTATTTAAAGAAAGCAGAGTATTTGATCAGTGGTGTTCTAAGCTGGTACAATATGCATCGAGATGAATAATTAAATACACATATTATGTATACGTTTACATGCATCGACAAATTAAGATAATTAAATCAAAAATTATTAATTAGTACGTTTATCAAGTACTCGGTGTAAATTAAGTCTATGATTATATCCGATAATATAAATTTGACGCACAGTTTAAATAAATGAAAAATGTATTAATTTAGAATTCGCATAGAAATATTATTCTGTCCTCAGGCATTAAAATCCATCTCAACCGTTAAAAGCCGTTAAAGCTTTTCTCTAATTATGTAATTTATTTAATGGTCTAGTTCGACTTATTATTGTTAATATAAAAAGATTTTATAAAAATTAGTCCAAATTTATGACAATATAATAACAAACAATATAACAAAAAGAAATATATGAAAAAGAGCAATAATGCATTGTAAAGTACAAATAAAAAAACGTACAAATATATTTTTTAAATAATTATTTTTACAACAAATGCAAATATATGAAATTGTGAAATAAAATTGTATATTTATTATTTGTTTAGATTGTTTAGAAAATATACAGGATGTATATTATTCTCCACATAAGCAATAATTCACATTCCATAAAAAACACAATTGTAAAAATGTATTTAAAGCTATGATTGTTAATTTGTTGAGTCTACAGTTCTCCTCATGGATGTCAAAATCCAACTAATAAAAATAAAAATAAAAGAACAATTATTCAATTATAGACCTTACGTACAATGGAGGAAATATAAGGTCGACAAAACGTTTCGTTTATCTTACTTCTTGTAATAAAGAATTTACTTAAAGTAAAAATTGAATGTTGGCTCATATTTTGGAATAAAATAGAAATTATAGCGAAATAAAGGCCAACAAACGAGCAAACAAAGATATTGTAATATAATTTTATTCGATATACTAAAGCGAAACGTTTCGACTTCACTATAAGTTTTTTTCAGCCGTAACTACAAATTTTCAAATTATATTTAATTCATTAGTCCTGTTTGGAGAATGCGCTCTATTCCCTTGATAATCTTTGGCAGTTAAATTCGATTAGTGATAGGTCGACCATCCTCGGTTAACGTTCCGCTCGAAACTGATGAGATCTCTCTCATTTTGTCAACGTCTTTTAACAATGTTAATTGTCGACAACAATCGATATAGTATCGCGATTTCTTTCAACGGATCGATTTTTTATTCGAATATTATGTCATTTATCTTAAAGTTCAATTACATTTCTACAAGTCTGTCAAGAATATTAATTAAAGTAACAACTGTCTAACAATTCTGTGTTTAAGTTTAATCCATTTTCTTGTTCTTTTATATGTATCATTTCTGATATAGTTCTTTTAAAATAATTATGTTCAATATTAAGTAATATGCTGTTTTCCCAATCAAACGCACGATTTAGCTTTGATGTATGTTTACTATAATAACCGAGTACTTTGAAGGATCTAATTTAGAGTTGTATCTGTTCTTTTATTCTAGTTTTCAACTGTCTTTTTGTTTGGCCAACATATGATGCGTTATAATCTTTACAATTTATTTTATAAATTTAACAAATTCATTATTTAAATAACAAACGTTTCGACCCTGAACGAGTCATTTTCAATGTTACAATAAATTAATTCGTGCCTAAAATAAAATTAAAGAACATAACAAAACTTGATACGCATTACAATTCGCATTTAACT